ATGACTTACATGATGTAGTATATCAGTAAGATATTGACTTCTGCTGCTTGTAAGAGTCTGGGATTTTTATAGAGGAAGGTGCAAAGACAGTTAATCTCTTTCAAATGTGAAATTTCACGTATCATGCTGTCCTTATGGGCCAGATTAAATAAACAGCTGAAAGTTAGATCACTACAGATACGTGCCAGGGTGATTAGGGGCCCAAGATGTAGTTTATATCATCTGTTCCCAAATATTTTTGGTTCACTTTAAAAAAAGAAACTAAGAAATACCATATGAAGATTTGTCCTGTTACGCACATATGTTTTTGACTTTAATAGGCTTAAGTATTTCTGGAGTCACCTCTCTATATATTAGGAAAGTTGTTTTTTTTTTTTTTTTTTTTTTAAGATTAAACCTGGTGGCACTGAGTTATGTCATCGTGTCACTCTGCATCTCGCCTGCCTCCACCCTCCTTATCTCCCTCCGCCCTCTCTTTTCCCCTGGGGAGGCCCTGAAGCAACCCCCCTCTCCAGTGTTCTGGGAGTGGGAGCCAAAGACACAAGCCACACAGCCTCTTCCCTACCCCTCATATTGAGGTAGCGGGGCAAAGCCACAAGCCGTGTGGCCCTGAAAGCCACGTGGTCTTTCTTCTCTCCCCTCCCTAGTGCTGGGGACGGGAGTCGTGAGGCCTCTCCTCTCCTCCCCCTGTGCTTCAGGGGGCCTCCCCCTCTCTGGTCATCCAAGGGAATGGGAGCTGCACCCCCTCCCTGCACTCCAGCCCCCCTCACATATCTCCTAGGTTGGGGGAAGAGCTGGGCCAGCCTTGTCTCGACTCTCCCCCGGCAGTCATGGGGAAGAAAAAGAGCCTGGGCTGGTGAGTCGGTGGGAGGAGACTGGGTGGCCTCAGGGACAAGAAGGAAAGGGCCAGGGCTGGGGTGGCCTTGGACCCTTCGGGGGGAGGGGAGGGAGAATGGGAGGGGAGAGCCTTGGCCTCGGCCCAACCACTGTGGCTAGGGGGAAAGAGCTAGGCCAGCTGCAGCCAGCCCCCAACCCCCTTCTCTGCCCCCCCCCCCGGGGGGGGGGGGAGGCGGGCTGGAATAGGCCAGGGCTGCCATGCTTCAGCCTGGCCCTGGCCCTGGCCCTCCCGGGCGGCCGGGGGTGGGAGCTGGGGCTGCCTTCCCCCAGAGAGGGGGGTTGGCAAGCATAGAGAGCACTGGGCACCACTGCCTAGTAGTAAAATAAATGCTTTTTAAATGTAATAGGTTTTAGATCGCGAATCAAATAGAAGCAATGATTATTTGTCTCTTGCGTTAGTCAAATACAAGAAACAGTTGTCACAGTTTCTTGATAGTTCAGTGGCACACCAAAATATGTGTGAATAACTTGAGTTTAATTTGTCTAATTTAAATTCAGAATTCCTTCTAATTTTGGTCTGAATTATTGAACATGAGCCAGTGTTCACTTGGCTCACCTTTTAAAAAATGTAAATAAATCCAAAACATTTTGAGCAGCACAGAGAAAATTGAAGGGTCGCTTTTAAGAAGGTGTAATTGTGTCACAGAATAGTTGATTTGTCAGGTGAGATATTGGTAGCTCCAGCTGAAGGTCCATCTCTGCACTGAGGTTTTTCCTGTAGTAGTGGTACTTTTGCAGAGAAAACTAGCATTGAAAGACAGAAAATGTCAAAGCTGTCTGATATCAAGCTAAACTCCTTTTTCTTTCTCAACCAAAAGTTGCTGACATGCAATTTGTTGCATTTGAACTAGATTCCACCAACTTTTCCTTTGCCAAGGAGCCATCTGGCAAAGTCGTCTATTGAAAATGGGCCTTGTACCTTGGACATCAGGCAGCTTCACTTCCCATTTGCCCCTTGTGCAAAGCTTTGGGTTCCCTCAGAGCCAGGGAGCACTGCTAGTCCCACTGTAGGACCTGGTCTAACTAGAGTCTTTCTCATGGTCTCCTTCTGTCCTGATTGTTGGATTTATAGAGGAAGGTGCAAGTTCTTTCCCCTTAGTTTCAGTTATTTCCCCTTAGTGAAAAAAAATTCCACAGCTTCCTTCATGAGGTGTGCTGTGATTGACAGGTTTCCCCACGCTGCCAGTATCCAGTCTGGTTTCCATTCCTCTCACCTGACTCAGCTCTCCTGCAGTATTTGTTTCCAGACTGTCTGCTGCCTGTCTTCCTAGAGTTCACCTTACAACTAAGATTTACCGTGTTAAGAAGTATCCATCTGATTAGCACCTTACCTTTGGTCCCTAGCTAATTTATTGCTCACCTGAATATCGGGGTAGCTTGGTCCTGAGCTCCATTACCCCTTAAAGGGGACAAACCATCTTGTTATAGCATACCCCTTCTAACAGGCTCATCAGTGGTAAGCACGCCACTGTAAAAGAATTAGAGATGTGAAAGGTTAACCACTGGAGCCTGGAGCAGCTCCTTGCCTGCCGTGGGGCGGCGGCTGAAGCAGCTCCTTGCCTGTCTTTGGACCAGCCAGCTGATATGCTGTAGGCAGAGGGCCCCCCTCACCTATCCTTCTCTTTAAATGGTTAACTGGTTAAACACTATGTTTAACGTGTTAACCAATTAAATAGGATTTTACATCCATAACAGTTACATTGGTATTAACATTGAAAATCTTTGTCACTATTCCTAGGTAAAGGCATTATAACTTCATGGGTGAACTAATTCATTGCCAGAGGAGGCTGTGAAGGCTAGGACTATAACAAAGTTTAAAGAGAAACTAGATAATTTCATGGAGGTTAGGTCCATAAAAGGCTATTAGCCAGGGGATAGAAATGGTGTCCCTGGCCTCTGTTTGTCAGAGGCTGGAGAAGGATGGCAGGAGACAAATCGCTTGATCGTTGTCTCTGGTCCATCTGATGCTGGCCACTGTCGGCAGACAGGCTACTGGGCTAGAAGGACCTTTGGTCTGACCCAGTACGGCCGTTCTTATGTTCTTAAAAAAAAGTTCTCTATATAAATAAGGTTTCATTTACAATTAGGTTTCTCTCAAGTAGTTTTGTAACTATTTTCTTAATATTTTCGAGCTCCTAATAATTGACACACTTCTCGAGATTCCAGGTCTGGACGGCAGATGGATGACTCAGTCTCTCTTAGGAGGGAGTCCCCGACCACCACTGCCCATCTTTTTCTTTTGGGGATGGTGGTCATGGAAACCCCATCCCTAGGACTATGCATCCCATGCCTTCCGGTGACTGGTGTCTCTTTCTGATTTCTTCCCTGAGAGATCTCTGCCAAAGTATTCTCCACCGTAGTGTCTGCGCAGAGAGCCTGGAAGCGGTTCCTTACCTCTGCAGGAATGGGGGATACCTGACTTGGCCTTCTTCTCCTAGAGGTTACATACTGCCAGTTTTCTTCCTTGTCCTGGATTGCCCTTCCTAGCTTTTCAGCCTGCTGTGCCTGCAGGATTAAAAGCTGCCTTTTATCGAGGAAGTCTTCATCCTCTCTGATAGAATGTAGGGTTGATACTTGTGCCTGCAAGTCCTCTAATTTTTTCTCCCAAAATGGCGACCAGCTTGCACTTGCAGGTGAAATCCCTTCTATCTTCCGGGAGGAAGACAAACATGGCACATGTTGTGCAGGTAACAACAGCAGACCTATCACTATCCAAACCTGCCTTCCTTCTGAGAGATTCCTCAGATGTTTTTAGCCTCCTGAGCTCCTCTTGGACGTTTTCCAGGCAAACTCTCCTGTTGACTGCTGCCCTGTTTGCTACTCTCTGCGTTCACTCTGGCTTCTTCTTATAAGGATGAGGCTAGGCCCAGCTCAAAGCCTTGCCTCTAGTGCAGTCAGCCCCTGAAGGCCCACCTGAGCTCCTCTCAGATGTTTCCCAGGCAAACTTCCCTGTTGGCTGCTGCCTTGTTTGCTGCTCTCTGCTCTGTCTGGGTTACTGTGTGGGAGTCACTGATACTCTCCCCTTCCTCAGAGCCCTGGAGATCTGGGATCTGCAGCTCCCGCCCTTGCACCACACAGGAGATCACGAGGGGGGATTTGATAGCAGTCTTCAACTTCTGGAAGGGAGGTTCCAAAGAGGATGGAGAAAGGCTGCTCTCAGTAGTGGGGGATGGCAGAACAAGGAGCAATGGTGCAAACAAGGAGCAGAAGTTACAGTGGGAGAGGTCTAGGTTGGATATTAGGAAAAACTATTTCACTAGGAAGGTAGTGAAGAACTAGAATGGGTTCCCTAGGGAAGTGGTGGAATCAGAGGTTTTTAAGTCTCAGCTTGACAAAGCCCTGGCTGGGTTGATTTAGTTGGGATTGGTCCTGCTTTGGGCAGGGGGCTGAACTTGATGGCCTCCTAAGGTCTCTTCCAGCTCTATGGTTCTATGATTAACAGAGAATATATTTGGATGTAATTTTTTTCCTGTTTTGTAAAAGATCCTAAAATTTGTTCCATATTCTTTTGAGAGATAATTCACAGTGGCTTTGAAATAAGTCCCAAAGAGATTTCTATTGAAGATCTAAATCTCATTGTTCAGAAGATGCTGCTGAAGAGAGGACAACAGTTAGATGTTGTTCTGCCTCATCTGAAACATAATAATCGTGGATGTTTGGTTAAGTATGCTTAACTACAAATTGCTGAGAGGATTAGGTGAAAGTTCTTACAGCAAGAGATTTGGCTTTGCTGGCCAGAAAACTCTACAGTCTATTGTTGTAGTTAAAAAATATACTTTAAAATACTGCTTCATGCCTTTGTAAAGATGTGTTGCCAAGTGGGATCTGCTGCACAAAGTAGTTTAAAAGTAAATAATCTAATATTTGTGTTTTAACTTTCAGCTTTGTGTTATTCTTGGAAAGTTTCACACCACTTGTGAATTCCCTGAACCGTGGCATTGTAAGCCCACTTCCGTTGAGCACTCCTCCTTTACAGCTTGCTCAAATTAAGACGTAGTTGGCTCTCCAGCAGTTGACATCAGCTGCCTCAAACAATTACA